TGGCTTCCTTCGTATTAGTTCACCCCTATTGCTGACACTGGTGTCTGCATAAGGGTTTAGCTGCAGGGTCTGGAAGGGGCAATGTATCCTCCTTGTGTAAAAGACAATAAATCATCCTCTAATGTATTTAATTCGCTTTGAAATTTACTAATGTTTTCCATTTGTACTTCTTGTTCCAGTTGCCACTGCTATAGTCTCTCTTCTTGTTTATGTTCTCGTTTTTCTTGTTTCTTTTCTTTTTCCTCCAACAGCTGTTGTAATCTCTTTTGTTTATTTTGCTGTTCGAGCTGCCACTGTTGCAGGTTTTCTTGCCACTGCTGTTGTCTCTCTTCTTGTTTCTTTTCTTTTTCCTACAACAACTGCTGTAATCTCTCTTGTTTATTTTGTTGTTCGAGCTGCTATTGTTACAGGTTTTCTTGCCATTGCTGTTGTCTCTCTTCTTGTTTCTTTTGCTGTTCTTGTATTGCTGTCATCAAATCTGCTAAGCTGTAGGTTGATTTGCCACTTCTCGTTTTCATCTTCTTTTTCTTCTCTCTTTTTTTTCAGTCACACTCTCTGACACCAATTTGTTAAGTCTCTGGTCGTTTGTTATTTCCCCGTAAAAATTCCTTCCGAAAAACTTCAGCGATACAAGTCCTTTCTTAAATAAAACTAATTTATTTATTCTCAATACAACTTTGCAATACACAGAATTTCCACAGTCACTTTAACTTAACTACTTTTATAAACACACGCTATACTTCACAACTAACGATTCACTCACTTTACCGCGCTTGACTCAATTGTCCGTCTCTATCTCTGCCTGTCTGCAATTCTATCCCGATTAATTGTCTGGCGCACTTATATACAAGAATAGATGGCGCCTAGCAAATACTGGATTATTCGTGATGTTTCCCGATCTTTCTGGAACGCATTACGTGTTACCAGCGTCACGTGACTTCCGCTGTCGTAACAGAGCCAATATTCGCTGGCCAATGCAACATCTATCTGCCACGCAATCCCAACATGGACAATTTTGACGCCAGAAAAATCAAAAATTATTTATCTCACTGCTTGGGATCTGTAGAAACGTATCTTTGTACCAAATCCCATCTAAGATGGTTGACATACACCTGAATAATTCATGAAAATCCCAAATTGTGTTTTCCTCGCTGAAAAATTAAGCAAAAGACAAAAATTCCAATATTATCCAAATCTCTGTTTCGGATCTGTAAAAAAAAAAAGTATCTCTGTACCAAATCCCACGTCCCCGACTGGGAAGAGCAAAATATACGAAAAGGGCTTAATCATCAAATCGAAGCAAGAACATTGATCAATATACGGAAG